CCGCGCCGCGCCGGGCAGGCAGCCCCTGCCGCCCGTCCTGCCCGGCGCTCCGGCCGGTGCTGGGTGGCTGAGCAGTCCCACTGCCTGGGCAGTTTAAGCCTGATCACTGTATTCTTGCAGCTGGCAATATTCAGATGCCCCTACATCCTGCAGACCCTCTGAAGCCATCTCTGTCCCGAGTTAAAGAGCTAAGCTCAAACAATAAGGGTAATGGACAGGAAATTAGAGATAAGTAGGTGGTTTGACAGGATTAGGGATAAGCAAAAGAAACATAATTATGTGATAGCTGCTATCGGACAAGGGCTCCTACGAAAGAGAATGTAAATGACCTAAAAAAAGCACTACACCAGATCAAACAGCTACACTTTGCAGATAACAGCCCAAAAACACAGGGTATAAATATTTATCACAAATGAATTCTCCAAACACTCCCTACTCGGGATCACATTAACAATAGATGGGATTGAGAATAATAGAGGCTTTTCACAATCTTTTCTCTCTTTTTTTTTCCTGGAGCTTTTATACTTGTACAGCTGTGTGTATGTGTGTGAGAGATAGGAGCGCCTGTCTGTGCGTGTGTGCCCGTGTTCATGCTGGAGGAGGGGATCGTCGGCTGGTGCCAACGTTGCTCAGCCTCGATTCATTCTTCTGCCGCTTCAGTGGCTCAGGGCAAGTCAGAGAAAATACGAAATCCTCCAGGCTTCTGTCCAGACCTCATTCGACACCTACATCCTAGGCTCTGTCTAAGATGGACCAAAATGCTCAGGTTCAGTTTCGCGCTGGTGGTGGGTGGCAAGGTGGGTGCAAAGGCACGGTGATCCTCGACCAAGCTCCTGGGGTGGGAGCCCAGCTGCAGCAGAGGGGGAAGCTTTCCAGCCCAAAACACTAGCTGAAACTTGGACGATTCCTGTTGCTTCTACCTCTGTGAGGAGGGAGGGGGAAATTAATTAATGGTGGGCATGTTCCTGTACAATCGTTGGGAAGCCTCTGCCTTGAATGAGAGCAAGGCTGGGCCCTTTAATGTCTACAAAGCACTTTGAAGATGTAAAGCTCTTTTGCATGTAAGTGCTAAGTGTGATTTTGACCTTAAATTAACCTGAAACCTCTGTCTGTCGGAGGGAAGGCAGTCCCTCCTACTCTGGTCCCCCGTGCAGCTCTCTGTCCCTTTGCGCTGGCAAATGACTGTCTCTCACTTGTTCAGCAGGACGGCTGCCAACAGAAAACTGCCCCTTTCGGAGAGCCATCCCACTCTTCTTTATGGTTTATTTTGGTTGTTGTTATTTATTTAACAAGCGGGAACACAAAGCCTCCATAACCTGGGCTTGCAAATTACTGAAGCCCAGGAAATGAAAACTCCACAGCAGCATTAATTGGAGGGCTTTTTAATTAAAATCAGCTTGTTTCCCGATCAAAGATTAAAGGAAGGAAGAAAGCTGAAAGAAAAAATAATAATAAAACAATTCCCTCTCTGCCCCTCTCTGGCATTCATGAGGTGCGGGCTGAGCACCATGTGTCATCCCTGCTGCTTCGCTCTGATACCTTTTGATTTTTTTTTTCCAAATGTCTTTTTCATCTCCTGTTTCTACCTGACTTTGTCTTCATCTGCTTCTTTTCCATCTGTCTGGGGCCTTGGAAAGGTGCCCGCAGAGGCAGCCTTTGGGATCCTGCTTTGCCCTTTGCCGGGGCGCCGTGGGGACCTGCCCGTGCAGGGAGACGGGGCAGGCGCCCGGGAGCAGGAGTACGAAACATGTTGCAGAGACGAGCCTGGTGTTTCTTACTGTGGCCCTTGTTAGTTAAATGCACTAAGCAGGTAACAGCGTTGCCTTCTACCGAAACCTACAGGCAGCTCGGCGTTCCTGTCTCTCCAGGTGTCTCCTCTGTCTTTCGTCCAGCGGGAGGAGCTGGAGAAGCTCCAGCCAGCAGCCCCACCAGGAGCTTGGGTGTGCGCCCGCACGGCGCCAGCGTGTCCTGTGCCCTGGCCCCCGCAGGCGCTCCTGATTTCCAAAAAACGGCTGTCACAGTGAGCAAAAGGTACCTCAGCTAGTCTGGAGTTAGTCTGTTTGGGACCTTTTCTGGAGAGTTGGATTCTAGAGGAGAAATTAGTGCTGCCTAAGGTTTAGTTAGTGTGACTAAATGACATTCAATGAGGCTAAACGAAGTGTGTTGCTAATGAAAACATATATTTGTTGCTTCGGAAAGACTGATGCCCCCAAGGCTGCTGAGAATCACTGAGGAGGAAAAATTAGATGGAAAAATTTGAGTGAAAAAAGGAAATTCTTTAATGAAAATTTATAATTGACCAAAAATCCAAAATTTCTTAAGTAGATAATGAGGATCATTTGGGTCAGACATTGATCTTTTTTTCAGTGCTGATTGTAACTGAGCACAAAATACCCCCCAAAAAACACAGGAACAGGAAACAGCCAACAGGAAAGCAAGGGAAATTGATAGCAACTGAGATAGATGAGAGACTTTGAAGTTTAGAAAGTTGGTAAGGGAAGGTAAAGGCACTGAAGAAAAATCCATAACTGGCTGGGCTATGGACATTAGTAGTGAGAAAAGTTAGGCAAAATAAGTAACCTAGCAATAATTGAGACTCATTTCTAGCTAACAGTAGTGACTGTGTTTGTACTGGTACAGGGAGGGGGGAGGTGCTCAATCAGCATTTCTGTGCCATTCCTGAAGGAAGCAGGGTGATGGGCTGCTGTCATGCAAGGCTGCTGAGGCATCTCATGGTCTGGTAGCAAACACTGAAGATTGTCCTACGTCCTAGAAAATAAATACTTTGAAATCTCTTGGCATTAGCCCCAAGAATTCTCCAAGCACTGGCAGAAAACTCCTGTGCTCGGAGGAGGGCTTGTTTCTAATTGCCCTGGAGTACCTGAGAAATAGCAGAGACCTGGAAGAGCACTAAGGCTCTGTCTGTCTTCAGAAGGAGCAAAAGGGATGACCCGGCTTCAGCACAAGACTGGAAAAAACATGATACCGAATTGAATTGAGGAAGAATTAGTGTCAGTCAGCATGGCTTTCTGGAAATAGATCTTGCCAAACAAACCTGATTTCATTCTATAATGAGATTATACTTTTGGTTGTAAAGATAGCTGTGTAGATGTAATATACTTAGACCTCTGGAAGGCACTTTGCTTAGTATGGCACGGCATTCTGATTAAACAGTTAGCACCCTGAATAAAGCACTTAGTCAATGGTCAATTATTTCCAAGTGAGGGGGTGAAGGCAGAGATCCTTTTGGAGATCTCCTCTTCACCTGTTGCTATCACATGCCCTTATATTGCAAAGGTGGATATCTCGGATTGGAGCTTGTACCTTGGCAAACAGCGACTCCGGAAGGAGCCTATGGAAAAGCAGCTGGGAATCTTCCCATGAAGCTGTCCTTCGTACAAATGGGGCAAAGCAAGAACTCTGAACACGAGGGCCACAGAGGCTGCTATGGCATGAAGGACGGCTGAGGGTGGACAGCAGAATGGTGAGCAAGGACAGCAGGGTGCACCAGCCATCTGGACGAGGCGTTTGCATGAGACTGACCCTGAGTGCTTCCTCCAGTTCTGTTGCCCGTGTTTTTAAAAATCATTGAAAAATGGAAGGGGTCCAGAAAAAAGCCCCAGAAATGGCTGACAAAAAATACTTCTATTGTACATTACGTATTAGTGTATAAGCATAGGTTTAGGGAGATTAGAGAGGATACCAGAAGTCTATTTGTCTATTGGATAAAAGCATAACAGAAAGTAATGAGTAGAAGCTGAGACTGGACAAAGTCATACTGAAAATAATGGTGTAGGAGATTCCCTATTGGAAGAAGGAAGGTGCATTCTCCATCTCTTAGTGTTTGCTTCTCAACTCCGGGTGTCTTTCTAGAGATGTTTTCCCCAAACACGTACTAGGTGCAGTACCCAGTAACACATAAAGGCTGCTAAAACAGGCAATGAAGCAGGCAGTCCAAGAGAGAGCATCCCCCTTCATTGCTGCACTGGCAGAAGGGCAGCACCAACACGGAGATGGCGGCATGATCCTGACCAGGACAGGAAGCAACGCCAAGAGAGATGCCACCAGATCTCAGCAGGGCTCAGCTGCCTCCCAGCATGGCCCCGTCCCACGGGCCCGCTGGGACCCCCTCTCCAGCCATGACCGGCTCAGTGCTCCCCATCCCACTGTCCTCCAGGGCGCACTGGACATGCCTGGCTCCTGGGATTCAGGCAACCTTCGACAGGCAGCTCTGAAAGCTGGGAAAGATGGGTCATCCTCAGAATAGACTGTCTTAAGGTCACCTTTGGCTCTCAGACCTCTATTTAAAGATGCAAGAGCTTCATTTAATGCTGAACACAGGACACCCCAGGGGTGCATTCACATGCCCTTCAGTTCAGATCTCTCTTCTGGAGATGCTGCTGCAAATCTCCAAGGAAAAGTCTGGACCAGTAGCCCTTCTCCAGAACCAGGCAATGGGGGCCGGGAGATCCTGGCCCCAGAAAGCCAGGGCTTAACTCTGCTCCCAGACATGAGCAGCAAGGAGGCAGACCCTGTGTCCTGCGTTCAGTGAGGAAGGGAGAGAGTGGTGGGGAGATGAGGATTTCTTACTGACTTCTGGGAACTGGAGCTCTTGTCTGTGTCAAGGATATTATTTATGCTCACGAGATGCAGACTGATTATGAGAAACATATTGATTGAG